CTTCTCTATTGCTGTCAAAGGCACCACCATCCTCCTCATCACCTAAGTTCCCAACCTACGTGCTATCCTCAGTTCTTCACTTTATCATCCTACCATATCCAATCAAAAATTTCAAATTCAAATAACATCTTTTGTATATGCCTCCTTCTCCTCTGGAACTGCTACTTCCTTCATCCAAGTTTTCATCAACCCATGCCGGGACTGTTGCCTGCTTGTTGATCTCCCTGCCTCAAGCTTCTCCTCACTCCAGTTCATTTTCCACTCAGTTGTCAAATTGATCTTCCTAAAGGCCCAACCTGACCATGTCACACACACACACACACACACCATTTAATAAACTCTACTGGCTCTCTCTTACCTCCAGGATCAAATATAAGATCTTCTGCTTGACATTCAGAGCCCTTCAAAATCTGGTCCCTTTCTAGCTTTCCACTACTATTATTGTGCCCCTTCTCTGACCTCTGCCAATGCATTCTGTGATCCATTGACAATGGCCTCCTCAATGTTCCTTAAACAAGACACTGGAACCACCCCCCAAGAAAAGGTCATTCCATCTATATCCCTGGGGGGAATAGGGGCAAAGTTTAATAATCTGTGCTGCTAATTGTAGGGAGTATTTAAGACAGAACTATTATGAGATCCCATCTTACTTGTATAAAAGGCCTGGCACATGGTCACATTTGGTCTTCATGCACAGTATGGACATGTAGTCTCTCCCTGGTTCCATTCTACCATGTGGAACTTATGTAGTCTACTTCCATCTATGTATGACTCAAGCTCCTGTATTATGTGATAAAAAGTATTCTAATTTGACTTCTGATCTAGAACTTAGTGGATATGCAAAAGGGATTGTCAACCTCTTCTTTCTCTGTCTCTGTTTCTCTCTGTCTCTCTAGCTCTTTCTGTCTCTCCTCCTTTTTGTGTCTTTGTCTCTGTCTTTCTCTATCTCTCCTCTGTCTGTCTGTCTGTCTCTCTCTCTCTCTCTTCCTTTTGGATTTGAATTGGGACTGCTTTGAGCTGCATCTGGAGGCCAGGTGAGGAAAGGGCATCTTCCTTATCTCCTATTAAACCACTATGTGTCTGTGAACACATGGCCACCTCTGTCTCTTTTGTACTTGTTCTTTCCTGATCTTAGGCAAACAAGTCCCCCAAGATAGATTTGTCCAGGACCCCAGAGGTTCTGTCTTCTGGGGTCTTCTGACTCTTAGAACAATTTTCTTTCTAGGATACTGCCCCACCTGTTAGATTGCTCATGCCTCTTCTGCTGCCCAGCCCAGTAATTTGCAAATTGTTGATACTATTTAGGGGTTTGGGGATGGGACAAGGATCAACCTGTGATTTCACAGTCATAGGGAACTATCCATGAGGACCAATGCAGATTGGGACCTGGTCTGCAATTTGTAGTTTTAAAGAGTGGTCTGGGGCACTGGGAGTTTAGGTGACTTGTCCACGGTCACACAAGCAGAATGTGGCAGAGTTGTAAGACCCAGATCTTCCTGATTCCAAAGCCAGCTCTCTATCCATGGTGCAGGGCAGCTAGATGGCAGAGGAGAAGGAATGCCCGAGTCAGGAAGACCCGAGTTTGAATCCCATCTCTAACACTAGTTACGGGACCTTTGGCAAGAATTCTCTCAGCTCAGCTTCCTTTGTCAAATGGGGATGATAAAAGCATCTAGCACATAGGGTTGTCATGAGAATCAAATAAGATCACGTGTGTAAAGTGCTATGAAATTGTGAGTTATTATTATTATTGTTATTATTGCCACCCTGCTCCTCATTTGTGTAAAATGAATGAATGGCTGAGCTGTCCAGGACGTGAAAGAGATACCTCTCCTTACCATATCATCTCTTTCACCTTATCAAGTCCCCTTATCAAGTGCAAAGCTAGCACCTAGGCACCTCTCCCTTCCCCTACCGGAGTCATTTTCTGGAATGGCTTGAAAGTTCAAACGATTCTATCCCAGGCAAGTTTCTCCAAGCTGCCTTGTTCCTTTTACCTTTCCTCTTTCCCACCAGCCCAATGCCTACGGCCACCTTGCCAATCTAAGGCTTGGGGCTTTCTTCACTCTGTCTGATGGACCAGAATGCTCCCACAGAATCCAGACGGGCTTCCAGTGCTAATTGTCAGCCCTCCACACGGTTCAGCCTCTCGGGCGATCAGCAGCCTGACTTAATCCGGACTGCTGCACATCTTCAGCTTCGAATCTGAGAATATGATGGACTGCAGCCTCTCAGAGATGCTCCCTGAGCTGATGGATGGTGGTGCCTGCTGGGTTCTGGGATGGCCCCGGGAGCTCCTGGGTCTAGCATATCAATACAGCTGCAAATCTTTACGATCAACTTGCAAACCTCAGGCTCATCTAATAATGGGCTGATCCTGTGTTCTGTCTGGACCTGTCCTCTGCTTTCAGTTGTATTTCCAGTAGCGGGGACAGGTTACTCTGAGCCATCTGCACTCCCCCAGCGCAGCACCGCCTTGTGGCCACAGGTGTCATTGACCTAGCAGGTGATTGGGACTGTGGATAGACATAGGAAGTCTATGACCACATCACAGAACACTAACAGACCTTCTTGGAACGCAGTCCCATGGCCTAGACCTCATTAATATCTTGCTCTAATTTATCAAGTTTAAACAGGTCATAAACACACTGGGGTATTTGCTCCATTTGCCCAGATGGGCAAAGGAGGATAAAAAAGGTCCTTTCTCCAATTTTGCCGTTCAGTTGTTTCAGTTGTGTCTGACTCTTCGTTTCCCCATTTGGGGTTTTCTTGGCAAAGATACTGGAATGGTTTGGCATTTCCTTCTCCAGCTCATTTTGCAAATGAGGAAACTGAGGCAAAGTGATATGAAATATCTGATCAGGCCAATATGAGCTTGGAAGGCTCTGCCACATGTCAGGCACAAATAGTTCATATCAACATTTGTAGTGGAGATGTCTCTAAATTTACGGATCTCACATTTCATTTCAGCTACTGCAATTCTGCTTTCTCATAGAGCACAGCCACTTCAATAGTCATTTGCAAGGGGGCAAGGGAGGCAGGAACTCAGCAGCTATTTGAGGATTCTGTAGTGTCTGCAGTTACTCCGGGGTTTTCAGTGAAGTAGTACGTACTGTCAATCCTCAGACGGCTGCCTGGGACCTTTTTCTTGTTTTGTCAGTAGAGGGGAAGAGGAAGAATGCTAGTCCTCTAGTATTCCTGCATACCATGTGATTGGCTGCCTGAGCTGTCAATCAATTCATTTTGTGGTTTATAAGACATTTCAGCTTGGTGCACAGCGTTATCTATGTGACTGTATTATGGGGAGCATCGCTAGAACAACATTTGTAGAATCAGATTTGTTCCTCAGAGCCACCTAATCCAATCTCTTCATTTTACAGAGACAGAAAATGAGGCTTCGGGAGGTTAACTGACTAAGTAAGTCCCAAGATCGCACAGGACAGTAGAGGTGGAATCTTCCAGTCAAGGCCCTCTCCACTGCACCATGCTTCCTAAACTAACACATCCCCCAATACCCTTTGCCTACTTACAGCAGCAGCCATTCTCCTGCCCTTTCTATCTCAAGTGGCTAGACGGACCCTTTGTGTAATAATAATTCATGTTCACATATTGCTTTAATGTTTATAAACTGCTTTCCTCCACAACATTAAGGGTATTATTATTTCCATTTTACAGATAGGGTAACTGTATCACAGAGAGTTTCAGTAATTTACCCAGGAATACACAGCTAGTATCAGCAGGGCAGCTGGAACAAGACTTCAAATGAGAATCTCGAGGCTCCAAGTTCCTGACTCCTAGCATGACTCACTGCTTTGAGCACAGCAGCAGCCGAAGTTAAGGGTTCCTAGGCAGAACTGAGCTTTCCTGGGCTGTCCTGGCTCAGCCTGCGATAGCCAAGAAGAGGGCTGAGAGCCAAGGCAGAGAGGGAACAGGCTTTGGAAGCTATAGAAAGAAAGGTTAGGGGTCTGAAAAGATTTGGTTCAATCACAACACGTTTATTAAGCCCTCACAAAGAAACAGCTGGTCTCCTCAAGGAGCTTATATTCTGTAAATATGGAGTATAGTAATCAATCATCAATGAGCATTAAGTGCCTACTATGTACCAGGCACTGTGTGCTGGAGATGCAAGTATAGTAAGTGAAACAATCCCTACTCACACCATGCATGCCTTATCACCTACCATATGCCCAGACCTTGAATTCTGTCAGTTGGAAAAGTATAACTAGCTGGTAGGGACCTCACAGAACTGAATGTTAGTTAGCACTGGGATTTTCGAATACACAGAACCAGAATACTGGAAGGGACCTTAGTCCATAGAATTTTAGAGCTGCCAGGTGGGGTGGGGCAGAAGAGGGAATATAGAACACAGAACGTTGGAACTAGAAGGGATTCAGGGACACAGAATGCTAGAGCTGGGACTAGCTAGAGCTAGAACATAGGGTACTGGAGCAGAAAAGGACTGGAAGGTGCATAGGGTGTGTGTGACGTGGAACAATCCTTAGAATAGAGAACATAGAACATTAGAGGTGAAAGAATTTAGAACACAGTATTTTGTGACCTTAGAACATACAGAACCAGAACTGGAAGTGATCTTAGTTCACAAGATCTTGGGGAGCAGGGGAGGGGGGAAGAGACTCGAATCCTAGACTATAGAAGGGACCTTAGCACCTAGAATAATAGAACACAGCACATCAGAGTTAGAAGAGACTCCTGAACATACAGGGTGGCTCCTAGAGGGCAGGCCTTATGTCTTTTGTTTTTGTATCTCCAGTTCTTAGCACTGTGCCTGACCCATAACCGATGCTTAATGAATATTTTACAGATGAGGAAACTGAGGCCCAGAGAGGTCACACAGCAGCTAGGCCGCCGACCCAAGTGTGTCTTGGACTCTGGCCCGGCTGGCTGGTTTTCCCCGGGGCGGGCCCAGGCTGGGTGGGGGGCGGGGAGAGGCCGCCCCCGACCAAGGCGAGGGGGCGGAGCCGGGAGGGGCGGGGCGGGGTCCCAGGAGCCAGCCCGAGTCTTTCCCAGAGGCTGCGGCGGCCCCGGGGGAGCAGCGGCTACGGAGCCCGAAGGTGGCGACAGTGAGTGCGAGGGGAGCCCGGCCCGCCCGCGGTCCCGAGGGGGGGACCAGGCTGGACTGGCCAGGATCGGGGCCCGGGGTGCGCATGGGGAGCGCGGGCGGGGGCTCGGGCCTGGCCCCGGCCCAGACCCAGACGGTCTGGGTGCCTGGAGCCGCCCGAGCCTTCTTCTTACTGGCCCTCGTCCCCAGCCGTCGGCTTTCACGCCCTCCACCGCTCCTCCTTCCGCGGCCGCGGCTCCTTCCTCCTCCGTCGCTTTCTCTTTCTCCTTCCAGCTTCCTGGGCCTCCCTCCCTCCTCCAGCTCGCTCGGCCGGCCGGGCCGCTCTCCCCTCCTCCCTGATCCGTCTGCCCAGCCCTCGCCCGGCCCCTCTCTTTCAGCCCCCAGCATCCCTGGCCCTTTCCAGCCCCCCTCCTCTCTTCTGTCTTCTCATGGGGGCGGGCTGTTTGTCTTTCCCGTTTCCCCCTGCCTATGTCCTCGCTGTCTCTCCCACTTGCCCGGCTCTCACTTAACCCCTGCCTCTCACTCAGCCCCGTCACTCTCCCACCTTCCCGCCTGTGCCCCTCTCCCTCCTGTCTGTCTCTTTCTTCTCTGTCTGCATAGGTCTATAGTCTACCACGTTTGTCTCCTCTTCTTTTTCCACCCAATAGATTTCTCGGTGCTCCTGCAGACCAGCTTTGGGTCTGGGGAGATAGTGAATGAGAAATAGACCCAGGCAGTACGGTAGTGGAACCTAGAGTCCGAGAACCTGGGTTCAAATCTCGGCCCTGCCAATAGCAGCTGTTTTACCTTACGTTTCATCGTTTGTAAAATGAGGACCTTGGACTGGACGCTATCTAAAGTTCCTTCCAATCTAAAACTGATCCTAAGAGGAACTGAGCCCGGCTCCTGCCACCCCAGAGGTCTGACTGAACATAGAGCAGGTCACTGTAGTTAGTGGCTCACAAAGTTAACCCCCCTGTTTCAGAATGGATAATAACAGCTTACTCTTGCTAATAATGCTTCGTGCTTTTCAAAGCTTCTGCACTTTGATTATCCTCACAGTCACTCTGTGAGATAAGTAGTTACCTCATGAGGAAACTGAGGCACCGAAAGGCACTAGAAGGGCAGAGCTAGTAAAGTTGGCACTGGAACTCAAGGGCTTTTATGTCCAGAGCTTGGTAATCAATCTTTCTACCACAGCAGTACCATGTCCTGGTTCTTTGCCCACAAAGATTTCTTCTTCCCCAGGTGATAATAAGAGCTCACATTTATATAGCATCTACTAGGTGTCAGGCACTGTGCTAAGCACTTTATAAATATTAATTCCTTTGATCTTACAACAACCCAAACTATTATTATCTCCATTTTAGAGATGAGGAAACTCAGGCAAATATTACAAATACTAACTCCTTTGATCCTCACAACAATCCTATGCTTCTATTATCTCCATTTTAGAGATGAGGAAGCTGAGGCAAATACTCCAATTTTAACTCCTTTGGTCCTCACAACAATCTGTGCTGTTATTATCTCTGTTTTACAGCTGAGGAAACTGAGGCAAACAGATTAAATAACTCGCCCAGAGTCACGCAATTATTAAGTGTCTGAGTCTGGATTTGAATTTAGGGCTTCTTGATTCCAGGCCCATCGTTCTATCCCCTGCTTTCCTTTAGCTGCTATGGGGATGGGAGCCCCTGTGGGGGTTCACAGCAGGTGACATATACAAATTGGATATAGGAGGTGGAGTCTGTACAGAACTATGTTGCAGGTGCGTCTGTCAGTGGTTGCTGCACTATTCAAAAAAGAAGTTTTTTAGTCCCCCTCCCCCCTTGCCCTCCTATCCCCCTGAGCTTGGTGCAGCTACAGAAAAGGCAGTAGTTTCTGTGCACCAAGGCTGGTCAGGGGGTGTATGATCAGGGATCACTGCTGAATATTGGACTCAAATCGGCCAGGAGATACGGGCACAGAATAATAGAATGGCAGAACTAGGAGGAACCTCAGAGACCATTCAAACCCATCTTTGGACCCAGGAGGGTCCAAATTGAAGCTCAGAAAGCCAGGACTTAAATCCTACCTCAGACACTCGCAAGTCCTCAATTTCCTCATGTGTCAAATGGGGATAATAATATCTGCCGTACCTACCTTCAAAAGGCATCAAGGCATCGTAAGTGGATTACTATCTCTCGGCCTTGCACTCAAGAAGCTCTGGGTTTGAGTCCTAACTATGACACAGAACAGCTGTGATTATGAGTGCCCCTAGGCTAAGTCTCTAAGACTGCACTGGCAGAGGGAATTTCCATACTAGGAATTCTCTATACTGGCAAAGTCACAGGTCTGAATTCTCCACCCACCCCCTCCCCCTTCAGAAAAAGTAACTACTGGACAGAGTTGTGAAGTACAATGATAGAAACTGGTTGGTAAACTTTAAAACATTCTATAATATCCGGTGGGAGCAGTCGGAGTGGTGGCCATGGTCAAGGCAGGAGGAGAAAGAAGGGGTAAGAGGCCTCTATTGGAGTTCAGGCCTTTTAACTCCCAGTCATTCCTGTATACCAGAGGCGTCAAATTCAGGTAAAAACAGGGCCACTAAACTGTACATGAGGATCCCTGCAAACCACATGTTGACTTAGAAAACAACATATTAACAGGCAGCTAGGTAACATTGGGCACTGGGCCAAGCACTGGGCCTCTATTCAAGAAGACCTGAGTTCAAATCCGGCCTCAGACACTTACTAGCTGTGTGACCCTGTGCGAGTTGCTTAACCTTGTTTGCCTCAGTTTCCTCATCTGTAAACTGAGCTGGAGAAGAAAATGGCAAACTGCTCTGGTATCTTTGCCAAGAAAACCCCAAATGGGGTCATGAAGAGACACAAATGAATAATGTTATGTTGTGTTTTTATTTGTTTTATTAAATATTTCCCAGTTTCATTTGAATCTGTTTTGGGGTATTTGTGTGTTTGATACCTCTACTCTAGATGATCCAGACCCTTCAGGAAAGTCAAGAGAAAATTACGGTTTGTGATTATTCTTTGGTAGCTCCTGCCTTGTTCTCAGTTTTGTGGTTAGCCTCTGTCTCTTCATTTTCCCATCCAGAAGCTGGTAAGCTAACTTCTGAAGTGTGGCAAGGTTTCATTCTATTTAAATGGGTTGGCCTATGGTGGAGGGGAGGAAGGGAGAGAGAGACAGACAGACAGACAAAGAGGCAGACAGACAGACACAGGGAGAGGCAGGCAGAGATAGACAGAGACAAACAGAGAGAAAGACAGAGATAAGAGGGAAGAGAGAGGAGAAAGACAAAGAAGAGTAGGAGGAGAGAGAGAGGGAGACAGAGATAAGAGGGAAGAGAGGGAGAGGAGAGACAAAGAAGAATAGAAGAGACAGAGGAGAGACAAAGGAGAGAGACAAAGGAAAAAGAAAGGAGAGAAGGAGACAGAGAAAGAGAGAGAGAGAAAGGGAGAGAGAAAGAAAGAAAGAAAGAAAGAAAGAAAGAAAGAAAGAAAGAAAGAAAGAAAGAAAGAAAGAAAAAGAAAAATAGAAAAATATTCATGGCTCATCTTTTAGAAATCTGTTCAACCCTAACAACTCTTTTCTCCATGGTGCCCAAAAATAATGGAAAAGAAAGGCACCAAAATCAGCTTGGATGTGGTGCAGAGTGAGCCCTTCTGCTGTCCCCTCATTCTTTCTGCCCAGAGTAAGTGGAGGAGTGTCTGGGGAAAAGTCATTGCTCCCTTCCCTGCTGTCCTGTGTGATTCAGAACTTATCTGCTTAAACATTTTACAAATGAAATTAAAAGTCAATCCACTCTGGCCAGTGCTGGCTAGTTTGGGGGAGCCGGAGATCTCTGCAAGTTACAGTTGAGCTTGGAGTGTGCTGAAGTGGGGTAGTTTAAAATAGAAATGCTGACGCCGTTGCCTCGATGCCTGTAGCTGGACCAGCCCGCTTTGCTGCCGTATAGTTATGTGTTGCAGTTATTAGTCTGGTTAGGTCAGATCACCCCAGTGGGACCCTTCATTTGTTTCCTGCGGTCTCCCATGCTTCTCTCTCTTTAGCTGGTTATCCCACCAGATGAAGACAGCCCCACTTTGTCCAATTTGATGATGTGAATTCGAGCTCAGTCTCATCTGTTCTGGCTTTTCTTGTGATCCTGTTTGGTTTGAGGGAGGAGCAAAGGAAGGGACTGATGGGGATCCCATCGTCAGTTTTATGGCAATACATATTTTTTTTTTCAGACTTCAACAGTGAGGCGCTATATGGAGAACAAAAATAGACACGCTATCTTGGAGCCAAATTCAACATCTGAACCGCAAGCAGAGCTCTGTTTTGTACCTGGGACAAGCAGTGTAAAAGGGAGGCTGATGCCCAGGATGGGAGAAGGGAGGAGTTCTCACTTGTATAGGCTTTCCCTCCATTGTTTCTATACAGCTCAAAGACTCTTAAGTGCTGTGCACAGCCTCTGTGTTTCAGTCCCCTGGGAAAAAGCTCCCATCACTGCACCCTGGTCACAGCACTGCAGCTGGGTGATAAAGGCAAGGAGAAAAGAGGGGTTAGAAACAAATGGAGTTGAATAAGGCTCTGTTAAATATATTCCATTTCTCTCCAGGGTTCCCAGTGTAGTTCAGGATAGGGATTTGACCCAAGATAAGGGAAGTGGTTAATTAGACCAGGCCTAACTCAGTCCAGGCTGGTTACTCAGGCTTGAGAATGCAATGAAATAAGACCCTCACAGAACCTCTGATTGTTAACAAAACTTAGCCATTGCAGGGAAAGGAAATTCAGAGCAGGGAAAAGAAATCCAGTAAGCTCACAGCACAGATAGGCACAGCTTCTTTGCCTCTGTGTTCATGATAGTCTACAATCATGGTGCTTGAGAGAGGTTGCCGGGTGCCTACTCACACCTTGGATTTTGTGCTTAGGCACCAGAGAGCATCATCAGCAGAGCCTGGGGTTCCATGAACTAATTAAGTATGGAGAATGGTTGCAATGCCTTTAAGGAACCACTAGCGTAGCCTTCAAGGTTCAGGGCAT